GACATTTATATTTCTCTAATTTCTCATTCTTTATGGCTGAGTAGTATTCCATTTTATTAAAACACACACACACACACACACACACACACACACACAATTTATCCAGCCTCCAACTGATGGGCAAATGGACTGTTTCCAAGTTTTAGCTATTACAAACTGTGCTGCTATGAACATGGGTGCACATATATCTCTATGGTATTATTCTTTTAATTCTTTTGGGAAGATATTCAGCAGGGGAATAGCTGGGTCAAATGGGACCTCTAATCCTACTTCTTTGAGGTTTCTCCATACAGATTGCCACAGTGGTTGCTAGGTTAACTGCTTTGGTTTTAATATTTAGATCTTTGCTTTCTTTATTTCAGTTTAAGTACATGGTGATAGATACAAGTCCAGCTTCAATCTTCTCCATATGGATAGTCACTTATCCCAGAATTATTTGCTTAAAAGACTATCTTTCCTCTAACATATGTGTTGAAGTGAACATATGAACTTGAAATATGGGGTTGTGGTGCCTCCTGGTTTACTCTTCTTGCTTAAGATTGCTTTTGCTCTTCTGGGTTTCTTCTAGTTCCATATAAATGTTAGGATTGTTTTCTTTACTTCTGTGAGGAATGCTGTAGTTATTTTGATTGGGATTGCAGTCTGTATATGGGTTTTTAAAGTATAGCCATTTTGACAATATTGGTTGTGCCTATCTTTCCATTTTCTGATGTTTTCTTCAGTTTCCTTTTTCAGAATATTATAGTTTTTGTTTTGGAGGTCTTCAACATCCTTGATCAGGTTAATTTCTAGATATTTAATTTTTCTTGATGCCACCGTATTTTCCTAATTTCTGAGTTCATAATTGGTGTACAAGAATGTTACTGATTTTTATGTGTTGATTTTTGTATCCTGTTACATTGCTGAAATCGGTTATTAATTCTAAATGTCTTTTGGTGAAATTTCTTGGGTCTTCTATTAGAAGATCATATCATCTGCAAAATGATAATTTGATTTCTTCATTTTCTATACATACCAATTTTATTTCTTTCTCTTGCCTGATTGCTCCAGATAATGTTTCAAGTGCTATGTTGAATATAAGTGGTGATAGTGGAAATCTTTGTCTTGTTTTTTATTTTAGAGCAAAAGCTTTCATTTTTATCTGTTTAATATGATGTTGGCCATTGGGTTGTCATAAATGGCTTTTATTAGATTCAAGTAAGGTCTTTCTATACTTATTTTCTTCATGTTTTTTTTAATCATTAATGAATGTTGGATTTTGTCACAGCTTTTTCTGCATTGATTATATGATCATGTGATTTTTGTCTTTGCTTCTGTTTATATAGGGTATTACATTTATTAATCAGTATAAGTTAAACGATCCTTGTAACCCTATCATGATGTATGATCCTTTTGAAGATGTGTTGTATTCTATTTGCCAATGTCTTAGTGAAGATTTTTGTATTATGTTCATTAAGGTGATTGGCTTGTAGTTTTCTTTTACTGATGCATAAAATACTAGTTTCCATCCTTTGATTTTTAGTTTATGAATGTCTTTTAAGGTTAGATGAGTTTCTTGAATGCAATAGACTGTTGGATCCTGTTTTTTCAATCTAGTCTACCATTCTGTGTCATTTAATTGGGGAGTTGAGGCCCTTAACATTGAAAGTTATTACTGAAAGGTGTTGATTTATTCCTGATATTGAATTATTTTTTGTGGATGACTTTTTTTTTTTTTGGTCTATTTGCCTTGCTCGATGAATTTATTCCATCCAGGTTTTTGGCTTTGTTGGCTTCACAATCTCTGTAGTATTTTCTGGAGTGCTGGTTTGGTGTTCATATAGTTCTTAAATTGTTTTTTTTTTATGGAATGTACTTATTTCCCCATCTATTTTTGAGACAAAGTTTCACCAGACATATTAATCCGGGTTAGAAGTTGTTTGCTTTTAAGGCTTGAAATACTTCACTCCAGGCTCTCCTGGCTTTTAATGTTTATATTGAGAAGTCTACTGTAATCTTAATGGGTTTACCTTTATAACTAATGTTTTGTTTTTTGATGAAAGCTTTTAAAATTATTTTTTAAATTGAGTATCTGGTATTTTGATTAAAATATGTCATCATGCTTGGTGTTCTGTAAGCCTCACTTATCTGTGTTGAATTCTTTTCTCATACTTGGGAAGTTTTCTATTATGCTTGCTTTTTCTTTTTTTGTACCAGGGATCAAAATGAGGACCTCATGCTTGCCAGGCAAGCGCTGTGCCATAAGCTAATTCCCTAGCATCTATTATGATTTCTGTAAATAAACAACTTTTTTATTCCACGTGCTGTCTTCTAGTTTCTGACTCCAATTAGCCTTAGGCTGTTATTCTTAGTGTTGTCTAGAAGCTGTTGGATGAATTTTTTTCATTCTTTTATCATTTTTAAGGTTTCTCTGAATAATTCATCATAATCTACCATTTTGATCTTGATTTCAGAAACCCTGTCTTCACATTGGCCATTTCTGCAATTTATGAATTCTATACAACTTCTTATATCCCAATATTATTATCTGATACTTTTGGTGGAGTTCATATCTTTGGTAAATTTGTCATTCATGTTTTGAACTATTTTGGTTGGCTCTTCCAAGGTTTTGTTTTTCTCATATCCACACTGCTCATTTTTAAGATAATTACATGAACTTTTGGGTCATGTCTTCTTTTAACTCATCAGGTATATTTACTTCTTCTTTAATCAATTTCATAAAGCTTTGTTACCTAATACTTGATTTTCTCTCCACTGGTATACCTTTGGATCTGCATTGGGAGAGTTGGGAGACTTTGTGGGCCTTGTTGCCTTGTTTTCTCATGTTTATGTGTATATATGGGTGTTTGTGTTAAGGGCTGAGGTTGAGCAGGGTGAGAGAGATTGTAGTTGATATAAAGGTCTTTTTAGTTTGATATTCTCTTCCAATGATATGATTTATTTACCTCTTCAGCTATATAATTTAAGTGGTTTGAATCCTGTCAGAGTTTTCAGGAAAGAATTACTAATGGTTGTTATAGTATCAATGGATCAGATCATATATCAGTTACATGTGATAAATCTTGCATTTATACTTTCACCCTTTATCAGTACTCTTTGTAGCTTAGATTGTATTGTTATAGCAGTTATTCTGTGATGTAAAAGGAGAGGGAAAGAAAGAGATGGAGAGAGTGGGTAAAAGAGGAGACGTAGGATACCTAATAATAGGTAGAAAAAATTAGATAAGGGGCCAGATTCTGTTGAAAGTCTTTTAGCTGAATTGAAAGGTTGGTGCTGATGGTTTTATGAAGATATTTGTGGGAGCAAGATGGGATGTAGGAGGAAGAAGGTGTATTTGGGGATTGAGGAAAGCTATGAGGTTTTTTGGAACTTGGTGATATATTTATTCACCTGTAAAGTAGAGAAGAGTCAAGGGAAGACAGAGGGCTAGGTAAGATAAGGCAGAGCAAAAGTAATAGAATATTGAAGACAGAATGTTATTATGAGAAAATATTAGAATGACAGAGAGAGCAGAATATATCAAAAAAAACTTGAAAAGAATTTAAAAAGTAGGAGAAACAAAAAATAGGAAAAATTATTGTTATAGAAGCTTGAGTTGAAGAAATGATATAGGGAGACAGGAAGAGGGAAGGAAAATAAACACCAATGTCAAATACTACAAAAAGAAACCATGAATGTGATTTCCATGTGACCACTGTGCCACAAAGCCTGAGTATTCACACAATTTCTTTCCTTAGTTGTGGTCTGATTATAGGAAGCCACAGCAATTTCCCCACTTTTCTCTTGCACTCAGAACCCACGGTAACCTAGTTTGAATAATTCTCCCTCCAGTTAGCAGGCAGAATCTGATGCTATCCCTGGGTTTGACTTAGGTACTACTCCCCCCCAACACACACATACACACACACACACACACACACACACACACACCCCTGTGGGCATTATGGTACAACCCACAGGCACATTTGTGCATCTGCTGGGGTCCACAGGAGTCAAGGGGTATGTTTTTTAGCAGGCAAAGATCTCTGGGAGTCAGCAGATGGGAGTGCTCATCTAAAGGAGTCTGTAGGGACTGTTCATTTGTTTGTTTTCTGTCTAGAGTGTGTGTGTGGGGCTTCCCTTTCCTGCAGTGAGTGCTCATGAGGATGCAATGAGGGTATAGCATTTCCCAGTGTTTGGAGGGGAAGTCAAGATCATAAAACTTCTTAAAGAAAAGTACCATTTTTTTTTCATTTCTATGTACACAGAATAATGACTAAATAACTTCTTGAACTGAATTCACTTTTAAACTTCCCAGCTTCTAAACTTGGATATATGACTTGAACAGAATTGAATACAATGAAAGAATTATCTCAAATTTTCTCTATACGCTTTGCCTATAGTATTAAAAATTCTATTACTAGATTTATTATCTATAATTTTTGATTATTCAAATATCTCAAAGTAAATAAGACAGCAGTGTATAAAAGGTAAAATAACATGAATCCCTCTGACCTGAAACATCAATTGGTTCAAGAGCAAAGATTCCATCATCATTTGCTAATAATGTTGTTTCATCCAGTTTTTCATTTTCAGGTACACATATGCCATCTGGATTATCTGGTTCTACAAATTAATGGTGCCATTAAAGTAATTATAAAAACATTGTTATTTCTAATCTGCAGGACTATATAAGAATTAAGGTGAACATTAACAGATTATATTGCTAACTGGAGCTATATCTGAATTCTTAGGATCATGTATTTAATAGTGGTGAAAAGACTCAGAGATTAAACATTAGAGGGCCCATAGTACTTGGGCAAGTCAATATCATGACCCCTTTCACACATAAGATATCTAAGGCTGGGAAGCATTCACAGTAAAACTGAAAACAGTAGAAGCAAATACAATAAATGACTGATATAATTTTGGTATATTGATAAATATTTATATTCTGTTGAATCGCATCAATTGACTTATAAAAACTATAAAATTTACTGCCTAATTCTTCTTAATTTTCAATGCCTATTATTTAATTAGAAACGAAATAGAACATCAACCTTGTGAAGATCAAAATAGAGCTAACTATACATTTACTTTTAAAGAAAAATCATCCAAAAATATCTCAAACCATCTGAAGTACTTTTGAAAGAATTTAAAGTAGAGAAAATACCCCCATACTTTTAATGTCTCTGAGATTGTATACAGATTGTCAAACAATATCATTTTTTAAACCATGCAACATATGTTATTTTTAGGATTCAACAGTTCAGTATTTGGTCAAAGAATTTAGACATGTGCTCATAATAAACCCAGTCCTGGTTAAAATACCATTCACTGCCATTCTCAGAACCTAAATCTCAGCACTGTGGGAGGCTGAGATAGGAGGATTATGAGTTTGAGCCCAACCTTGGGCTATCTAGCAACTTAGCAAGACTCTGGCTCAGTCAGTCAGTCAGTCATCGGTCAGTTAGCCAGTCACTCAGTCACTCACTCACTCGATCAATTGATCAATTGATCAGTCAATCAACTGAGGATGTAGCCATTGCAAAGATCCTGGGTTCACTTTTCATATTGCAAAAGAAACCAACTTCCTATTCCATGTTGTCTAGCATCAGATTAAAAGTTTGAGGGAAAATATTCTTTATCTTTTTTGGTGGGGGGCTGAGATAGGGTTTCACTATGTAGTTGAGACTGACCTGGAACTCTATGTAGCCCAGGCTGGTCTCGAACTCACAGTGATCGTCCTGCCTCAGCCTCCCGAGTGCTGGGATTACAGGAGTGCGCCACCATGCCCAGTCTTCTTTATCTTTTAATATACTGTACTGCTACTTAAACATAGACATTCTAAGGCTTAATCCAAACAAATATCTTTTCATTTTCTACACAAAGGAAAACTTTAACATACCCACTATTGTATTGGGAGCCTCAGGAGGCAGGGAAATTTCTCTGTTTAAATGCATGTCTTCTAACAGGATATTCTCATCATCTTGCAATAGGTTGTCTTGAAAAATACAATACATATTTTTGTCATATAAATTTGAATCTGTCTTTTGTTCACATAACATTTATTAACATTGCTTTATATAAAGCATCATGAAGGGATAATTACTTGACGTAAACTAGAAAATTTAAAAATAAATATTTTACATGACAGTAACCTTTAAAATATGAACATTTAGTTTTTCCTATTTTTGTCTGTGCTATTTCTATAGTTATAACACAAATACAAAATGCTAGATTCTTTAGTAGTCCTACAACTAGTGTTGAAGAAAATGTCTTACAGCATATAATGTAATATATTTTGTTAGAGCTATACTAATCTCACTCTTCCCTTTTAAAACTTAGGAATTTATAAAAATAAAAATGGGCAGTAGTTTCCAACTTTTATGAAAAAATATTTAAACAGATGGCTATTAGGGATGCTGTAAATATACTATAGACTTTTAAAACATGTGTAAAAAATGAATTGATCTATATCACACAGAAACATATCTGAAGTTTTAGTTTCATGTAAAATACTAATATATTGTAATAATTTGATTGGAGGAAATATTTAATTTTGATATGACCAGACAGCATACCAATCATTTCTCCTGCAGATCCTTCATCTCCAAATCCATCTCCACTGTCAAAGAACAAAGATTTTTCTTCAGCGAGGCTTCCAGGACTATGTTCAATAAAATGACCACTGGAGTCCAGTAATATGTTGTCATCAAACAAACTACGTCTTCGGAAAATTTCAGATTCTTCCCCTAAATAAATGTATATCATTAATGGTGTTAGTCATAGAAACAAGTAATTTTAGGATTAGAAGGAAACTGAGATGTTAAATAGAATAATCCCTCTCATTTTATATATATAAGAAAAATGAAAGCTGAAAAAAAATGACTGAAATTATTCAACTAATGTCACTCAGTTAATCAACAGAGATTAGCATTATGGTGTAATGGTCTTTCCAATACAATAGAAAAAAAGCCAAAACATTAAAGTTTATACATGTGATATAATTTGATAATTTTCTAGAAGGCAGAAATATCATGGCAATAAGATGATTTCCTCTACGTTAAGCAATTCAAGTTCTGCCTGACCAATTATTAGTTCATATAATTTCAAGCACAATTGCTTGAATGGTTCATCCATAAAGGTCAGGAAAATAAGGAGTATATATGCTTCTTAGGAAAATGGAAAGGTAGGCTTACAACATTCATCCAATAAATATGTATTGAATATGCTAGAAGTTGGAGATAAAGTACAAAAGGATAAACACAGTCAGGTGGCATTAATGTGATATATATATATATATATATAGTAGAAGATATATGATGATCTTTATTGTAAAAATTAGAAAACACATCACAGAAAGGTTTTGTAATTAATCTTGTAATTTATTTGCACACAGTCACACACTAGCAAATGACAAAGTCAGGATCTGAACCCAGCTCCCTCTAACTTCAGTCCTATGTTCTGATAGTCACTATGTTACATTGATAGCTCTGGGGTTCTTTTCATCTTTTGGGTTTGAATCTTTAGGTCCAGGAGTCTGAAACCTCAGAGATCAGAGGTTGGTGTTCCTTTCCCTCCAATAACCCATCTTAGGGTTACATTTTAAAAAATCATTGGCCCAGGATTTAGCTCAGTGGCACCATACCTCCCTTGCAAGTGCAAGGTCCTGAGTTGATTCCTGGGTACTCCCCCTACCCCACCCCAACTCCGAAAAAAAAAATCAAGAGTCATCACCCATATTGAACATTCTTCAACAGACCTATATCTTTGAAAAAGGAAGAGATGAAAGCAGCAGCCTCAATCACGCTAGATTAAAGGTTTGATCAATATAAAAGATTAAGTGACTTTAAAAAATAAGAATATGTTCATATTATGTGCAGTTTGATACCTCCCAAAAGAAAAATCAGCCTTGGTCAAAGAATAACAACATATATAAAGATGTAGGGAAAATGGGAAGGGTAGGGGAAAGGTAATAAGGGAAAGGAAAAAAATATGAGAAAATGAAAAAATGGAAATAAGGTGCTTGTAAATGGGAGGGGAGGAGGGGATGAAGGGAGGGCAGGGACAAGGGGAATAAATGAGAACTAAGACCTGTCATGTAAAGGTACAAGATCCCAATAATAAATATAACTGTACTGTGTACCTAAAATGTACCAATAAACTCAATGAGAAAAAAAGAATAACAACATATGAACAGAACTATTTTTTGAGCATTGAGCACTGCAAAAATCTGAGATTATAGAAAATAAATAATCATTACCTTCAATTTTATATTAAAATACAGAGTATGATGGGTTAATATTAAACATTTCATAACGAAAAGTAAATTTGCAATCATTTTTGAAAGAGAAAAACCATACATTGATGTAGAGGTCTGAAGGTAATAAAGGAAACAACCTATGATGTTGCTAAAAGTTATCTCTACTTTACAAATAGGGCAGTAAGGCTCAGAGAGGTAAGACAATCGCCAAGCACCAAACAGTAAATAATAAAGTTCTGATTCAAACTTAGGTCTGTTGATCTACCAAGAACTTGTTCTCACTCTTTTTTGGGATGATATGAGACACAAAAATGTAAACAACTAAACTGTATTGGTTAGATTGTAAGACACTTACTTGAATATAGCAAAATGTCTATATTAAGAGTAAAACAGGGCCGGGGATTTGGCTCAGTGGTTTTGCCATCTGCCTTACAAGTGCAGGGACCTGAGTTCAATCCCCAGTATCAAAAAAAAAAAAAAAAAAGTAAAAAAATCTGGGTGTATCTGTAATTCCATCATTCTGGGAGACTGAGACAGGAGAATCACAAATTCAAGAGCCCAGCCTGGGCAATTTAGTGAATGTGTGAGACCCTCTCTCAAAATGAAAAATGATAGGGATGTAGCTCAATGCAAAAACTCTATGCTCAACCCCTAGTACTGAAAAAGAAAAGGGGGGGGGGAGAGAGAGGCAGAGATACAGTTGATAAAATAAAGAAGGTGATAAGTTGGAAGAGGTCTTTGAAGATAGGCAGTGAAGTTTGAGGCAGTATCATAGGAAACCAGCGGATTTAAGTAGAGGAATGTGCTGTGAAAACAATGACATTTTTTTGGCGGGGGTGCCAGGGATTCAACTCAGGACCTTGCACTTGCAAGGCACACGCAGTGCCACTGAGCTAAATCTCCAGCCCATAAAGACAGTTGCTCTTGTAGAGATGTGGAAAATGTAGAAAGAAAATGGAGCAAGATTTGCATAAAGTAGTACAGTACTCCAGGCCTGTGGTATTGGTGAACTATGTTGTTATAAATAGAAAGAAAATCTAAGATATATTTCAGATTTTTAAAAAATCATCACTAGTATGAAGTTAGGAGAATAGTTGAAAGCAATCCTAAAGTTTCAGGCATAAAGATAAACAGACTTTACAGGAAAGAGTAAAGAGCATCATGGCCAGTACAGTATACAATTATGTCTTTGCCAAAGTGTTATATTTCTAGATCTGGGATTAAAAGATCCATTCTAGTCAAAGTATGATCTGTGGATTGTTGCTGGTCAATAATAAAGTAAAAACATCAATTAGAAGTAAATATTTAGAATGATTTATAGCAATTTGACAGTGTAATTTTATATATGCTGGTTAATAAAAACTTAAGGTTTTATTTTGATTTTTTTAAGTTTTTAATTTTCACTACAATGAAACTTTATTTTCAGTTGTAGGAACTCATTAAATTTATACAACAACAAAATATAGACAAATTGGAAATAGATAAAAATTATAAAAACAGTACTTCAACACAGATGTTTTAAGGAACATAATCAAAGACAGAAAGAGAAGGAGGATGAGAAGTTGAGATAGAGATTTGGCTCAAGCATTACTCCCGTGACTCTCCCCCAAGGCAAGACAAGTTTAGGTCATCTTTCTATGCTCACTGTTTTGGACACTGAAGAAATTCAAACATGAACACAACACAGATCAACCCTTACGGAGTTTGTAGACCAGCACAGAAGATATTTAAATGTCATGACACAAGATAGAAGTGGCACATGTCAGAAAAAGATCACTATATAGTTGAATTATACCAAGTTTAAAGTACACTCACTTTACCCAAACATTTTAACATTTAAAATCAATTTTTATTTTATAATCTTAACCTGTATATTCAGTGTGGTAGTATTCCTTCCTCCTCACTCCCAAGCAGATCTAAAATCTATTATTTTACAACTAATAGTCATCATATACTGGAGGAAATATGATATTTAAAGGTATTTTATGTAGCATACATATAAAACCTTGTATGAATGTTAACTATACCAACTATTCACTTGCATGTCTCTCTCCCAGCCTGAAGCTCCTTGAGGGCAGGAACTGTTTCTTTTAAACTTTGGAACTGTCCGTGTTTCTGATAGCATCTAATGTATAATAAAGTATTCAATAAGTGGTTGTACACTGAGAAGGTATATCCTAAAAATATATTAGAATTAACATCTATACTAGAAAAAGATGGGAAAAATTTGGGGGAAAAATTTACATTTTGCCAATAAATTCATTCTATACATTTTTCTACCTGTATTGTTTCAGGATAAAAATGTATAATTGACTATGACTTTTAATTTTGATTTTTCAAAAATCAATCAATAACAAATGTTGGAGGGGTTGTGGGGAGAAAGGAATCCTTCTCCATTGTTGGTGGGAGTGCAGAATGGTGTAACCACTATGGAAATCAATATGGAGATACCTCAAAGAGCTGGGACTAGGGGTTCCAGTTGACCCAGCCATCCCTCTGCTGGGTATCTTTCCAAGATAATGAAAAGAATCATACCACAGTGATATATGCACACCAATGTTTATAGTGACACAGTTTGTAATAGCTAAAACTTGGAAACAGTCCATTTGCCCATCAGTTGGCGACTGAATAAAGAAGATGTGGTTTTTCTATAAAACAGAATACTACTCAGCCATAAAGAATGAGAAATTAGATTCATTCATAAGAAAATGGATACACATTGAGGATATACTCCTAAGTGAAATAAATAGGTCACACATGTAAATACTGAATAGTTTCTCTGATGTGAAAAACTGTAATAGTACATAAGATTCTAATGAGATAATTGACCATGTGAAATAGGAAGAAAAGGGCTAAAGGTGTAGGGAAAATGGGAAGGGTAGGGGAAAGCTAATAAGGGAAAAGAAAAAAATATGAAAAAATAGAAATGAAGTGTTTATAAAGAGGGAGAGGAGGAGGGGGTGAAGGGAGGGCACAGACAAGGGGAAAAAAATTGAGAACCAAGACCTGTCATGTAAAGGTACAAGATCCCAATAATGAATGTAATTGTACTGTATACCTAAAATGTACCAATAAACTCAATAAAAGAAAAAAAATTCTTACCAAAGCTCTCATTTTGGAAAAGTAGATAATTGCCATACTCTTCTCTAAGTGTAATTTCTTCAGGTCTGCTTTGGTTCTGAGTGTAGTGTTCTGAAATATCAATCACACTACAGAGAAATGTAAAATTGAAGAAAACATACGAATAGAACATAATGATTTTACAGTATACTGAAAAAGCCTAAAGCAAAAAGCAGGTAATGGTATTAAAAGGTGAGGCCTTTGGGAGGTGACTAGGTCATGAGGGCTCTGCCTTTATAAATGAGATTAGTGCCCTTAATCACGTCTCAAAATGTTGCATCACTCCTACCCTGTGAGGACACAGTGAGAAGACTGCCATGTATGAACCAGAAAGCAGATCCCCACTTTGTGATTCTGCTGGCATCCTGGCTTTGAATTTTCTAGCCTTTGTGGCAGCTATAACAAATAAATTAAACTGGCAAATTTATATACAACAGTATTTCACTGCACACAGTTCTAAAGAATGGGTAGTCCAAGATCAATGCTCAGCGTCTGATAAGGGCCTGTTCCTCACAGAACCTTTTTGCAGTGTCTTCAAGTGGTGGAAAGTTTCTCAGGCCTCTTTCATAAGGGCATTAATCTCATGCATGAGGGTTCTCTGCCCTCATGATGTAATTATCACCCAAGGGACCCACTCCCTAATATGTTCACTTTGGGGATTAAGTTTCAACATTTGAATTTAGGAAAACACATAATCCAGACAATTACAGATGCATGACTGTCATTTCCAAAACGTAATTTACTTCCTTCTCTCTCCTCTTTTTAAAGCTGTCATTCCCTAGTGATACTAATTTTATTAAATGGTAACTCCATTCTCATGTTAAAAATCATATGGTATCCTTTTTTTTTTTTTTTTTTGGTACCAGAGATTGACTCAGGACCTTGAGTTTGTGAGGCAGGCAGCAGAACCACTGGACCATGGTATCCTTTACTTCTTAGAGACATACAGCCAATTTTCAGCAAACTCTGTTGGCTCTGATTTCCACATTTATCCATAAATTGACTGCTACCACCTTGATAAGATGAAGGTAAGAACAGATCACAGATACTATCTCCTTTCACCTGGATTCTTAACTCTAATAATCTCACATGCTCCCTGCTTCCTCCTTATATAAGAAGCCAGAAAGATAATGCTGAAATCAAGCCAGACCTGGCAACTTCTGTATTCAAACCTTTCTGTGCTTCCTCTCTAAGTAAGTCTTACTGTAGACTACAATATCCTACATCACCTATACCTCCTCTTACTTCTCTGATCTCTTTTCTCTACAACTCAAGCCCCTCATTCACTCTATTCCAGTCTCATTTGTCTTCTTGCTGTTCCTTGAAAGCATCCAATGGGCTCTGCATTAGGGCCTTTTCACTTGTTCTAACTAGGACAGTATTCTCTCTCATTATTGAATGATTGTTTCCATTCTTATCAGAAAATCCTTTCCTGACCCTTCATTATTTATTTTCTGTTTCTCTTCATATTTGATCATCTAGTCATTTACTGTCATATTATGTATTTACATGTTTGTTTAATGTCAGTCTATTCCAATTAAAGTCTATGATTCATGAGGCCAGGAGCTGTTTTATTAATTGCTATCTTCTCAATCCTTAGAACAGTGCCTGGTATAGGAAGAGCACTCAAAGGATATTTACTGAATGGACAGATGACTATGCTGGCATTATTATAAATTATATTCAATGAATATAATGATACATTTTTGTTGGTGCACTTTGGAATTTTGCATTAAATTTAAGTCTGTCAACTGTATGTTTACTTGTTCAGTTGTTAACTACATCCCATTTGCCTTCAATCTGAATAGGAAAACAATAAAATATCAAGAAAATCAAATTGAAAGGTAAAATATTTACTTTATATTATGGGTGTCAAAATCATAAAATTCTTCTGGTAATGTAATAGCATTGTAAGCTGCTTCAAAATTCTCTTTTGGGAGGTCGACCAGTCCTAAATAGAATAAAAAAACATTTAATAAGAAACGATATAGTATAAAGTAAGAAATTCCCAATTAAATCTTTATTTTCTCTTGCTGGACCACATCCTTGGGTTCCCTATCCACTTCTGTCCCTCTATAGTCCATTCTCCATAAAGCAAACAGAGTAATATTTTCCAAAAGCAAACTTGTCAGATACCTCCCATAAAATGTTTTAGCAAACTCGCCAGTACATTTTAATAAAATTAAAATGTCTAATTTAGGCCTTTCTAGCCCTACCAAAAAAGCATCTTACTCCTCGCTCACTGCACTTATTCTAGACATACTAGCCCTTTTGATCCCTGAAAAAGTCAAGCATGTTGTCATCAAAGGACCTTTGCTCTTGCAGTTTTACTTGTTGTGCTATTCTGTGTGGAACTTATTACATGGATGGATACTTCTCACTTTTCAAGTTAAGTTCTATCCACTCAGAAAGGCTTTTCCAAACTGCCCTAACTAAAGTAAAATTATCTGTTATTTTCTGTTGTAATGCTCTGTTTATTGCCTTTATAGCACAAGCACAGTCTATAATTATTGTAATAACTTTTTAAAAAACTCTGTAATTTTCTGGTTTTCTCACCAAACTGAAAGGGACTTTATTTACCTTGTTCGTTTTTGTATGCCAGAGCCTATCATCATGTTTGACACTAAATATAAGATCAATAAATATTTGCAGAATATGTAAATGAAATAATTGAAAAAAATGAATCATACTTGATACGAGTATGAATCTAACTACAGATTGCAGAAATATTTTTTAATAAAGAAGATAAAAAAACCTGTCAGTCCTGCTTCAACATATGTTGATTGAGGGAATAGTATTTGCAAGGTACCAAGACAGGTGCTGTAAGAGATTCAGAAAGTGGACATGACAAAGATGTCATGAAGGCTTCAGGCTGCAAGGATCCTGAAGATTAGTGAATTATAAGATTAGAAAGACTTGTGTCTAAATAACCATGATCCAAGGTGGAAAATAATGAATGTCTTAAAAGTGGAACAAATGATATGTACTTTATATTTTGAAAGAATTATATATATGATACATAAATTTCTAGCACTTTGGCATGTCTAGGTATTTCAATCATATTTCATAAGAGTATGACTATTTCATAACTTAGTCTTTCAAATTAGAAAAACAATGACAATTATTGTTATTTGTATTATCAATTATACTATTTCTAATTTTGTTCATAAAGAAAAAACAGATATGACAAACTAAATTATCCATTAAAAATGGAATACTAGAGTTTTTTACACAATTGTGGCTTTAAGCATATTTCTTATGAAATACATAGGAACATTACAAGTTTTAGAAAGCAAAACATTTTTCTGAAAATATAGGAAAAGAGCAAGGGAAATAATATAATTTATCCTTAACCATAGAAACTTAGATTCAATCAAAATTATATTCATTATAATCACCTGAATTACAATTTACTGCCAATTGAAAAGCCCCATTCATCTAAACATGTAAAACAGAGCCAAGAACAATGAGACAAAGTAACGTTGCATGGGTACCTGGGCGGAACGTCATCTTCATTTTAAGAAATGCTTCACTGCAGTCTGCCAAAAGATATTTTGCCTTCCTATCATAGATTCGAACAACTCCCAAAAGAAGGTGTCCTGAAGTTCGAAGTGCAATTTTTACCTTTCAATAATTTTGAAATTAGAAATTAGGTCCATAAATTCTGTTCTTTGAAAGTTACTGAAATTATAAGAACTTCTTTTCTTTGAAAAGCAGGCATTTCAGACTGGGGATTTAGCTCAGTGGTTCTGCTGCCTGCCTCACAAGGGCCCGAGTTTGATCCCTGATACCAAAAAAGAAAAGCATACATTTCATATTGTTTTTTTTTGGTACTGGGGATTGAACTCGGGTCCTTGAGCTTGCAAGGCAGGCCACCGAACCACTGAGCTAAATCCCTGGCCCTATTTCATATTCTTATTTAAAATAAACCACTTAACTTTAATCTCTCCTTTAAAAATAATTAGCTTTTTATCTTATTTCACAAAAATAATATAATGTGGCATTTAAATGACATGTGCTGTTATAAATATTGCAGGAAAAATATAAATTCTGTAGTCAGTCACATTGGGGTTCAAGCCTTAGCACAGTTGCTGAGGCTGAGTGATTTAAGCTTCATGAACTTCAGTTTAATAAAAATGGCTACAATTTATTTTGTACCAGTCATTGTCCTAAGAGCTTTTCATATGTTAATTTATTTAGCTGTGACAATGTCTACTTGCAGAAGAAAAAAGCCCAGACCCAGATATATTGTGACAACCCCAACATAATGTGGCTACCAAGTGATGAAGCAAGGATTAAAAAAATGTAAATTTGATCAATTTAAAAGGTCATGCTACCACTTCACTGAGGCTAAAAGAAGCCAAAGAACCTTTAAGAATTAAAATTAAATTAAATTAAATTAATTAATAAACATAAAGTCTAGGCCAGTGCCTTACACACAATAATCTTTCAATTATAATTCATCTTTCTCTCAAGCAAATACTTAACCTACAAAAATATTAAGATAGTATTTTAATGCAAATTCTAGTAGCTACTTTATAGTTTTATAATAAACACAGTATTGTTCATGATGTGTTATTTTTTAAGTTTATAATCAATCCTTTCTTCCATCCCCATTCATTCATTGTTTTCCAAGAAGATTTATTAGGCACCTACTATGTACATGATATTTTGTTAGAGAACAAGAAAAGTTTACAAAATATACATAAAACATAGCCTTTATTACCTTAGGCTCCAATCTATTTATGATAAATACATGAACAAATCACCAACAGAAACCAATATATATTTATGTTCAGATAATAATTGCTATAAAAATTAAAAGAGATAATCTGAGAAGTACAATTATCTTAGAAATTTATTTAATGATATAAGTGTATTTAAATTCCTTTCCAGAAGTTATTGCAATACAATACATTTTAGGGCCAGGGATTTAGCTCTGTGGTTTCACCACCTGCCTCAAAAGCTGAAGGTCCTGAGTTCCATCCTTGGTGCAAAAAACAAAAACAAAAAAAAAAAGCCAAAACAAAAAACAGGTTATCATTTTAATCAGTAACATACCTTAGGTGAAATGATTTTTTCAATAGTTATCTCTAGATTACATTCAAATACATGGGCCTTTGTGAGTTTCTTCTCCCAGTGGGCTGCAAGCCATATTTTGGCCAGTGGCCCTCGCTTACTCATAAGAACATGGGTGTAGAACATGTTGCCTGTATTCCTTAGTTGTGTTTGATGAACTAGAGAGAACACAAAAATATATTTAAAACTTGGTAACAAAAACCTTTCAGTATTACCTTATGCAACAGTTTTAAATTCTAACATTCAGATTATCTCATTCAATATATTATTCGATTCAAAGTATTTTCTTGCAAAACAATCTTTAGAATTTCTTGCAGAAAATCTTTAGAATATAAAATTACAAATTACAGAGTTTTAGCAGTCTGTGAGTCACACCTGGTTTAAATGGATCCTAATATCGCTGTGAGTTTGAGACCAGCCTGGGATATATAGTGAGTTCCAGGTCAGTCTCAACTACATAGTGAGACCTTGTCTCAAAAAAAAAAAAAAAAAAAAAAAAAAAAGGATCCTAACAAAGGATCTCTCAAATTTTATGTATCCTATGTAGCATTTGCATTCTCTTTAACTGAATATGGTAAAATGAATAAAACAGGAAGGCTGAAAAATAGGAGTCAGAAATAGGAAAGAATAAGAAAAGGTAGAAAAAAGTAAGAACTAAGAAACAGGAATTTGAGAAGTATTGGATCCCTGATTTGTATACAAGTGTTGAATTTCATTGTTCTCTTTAAGATGCTCTTTTTTATTTAACAATGTTATACTTTTTGAAGTTAAAAATAACAGAATTGTAAATAAAGTAAAAATCTAAAAGAGAAAAACCAATCAACTAGGAAAAGAATCAGAAGACCAAGAAAGGAAGCAAGAAACAATTTTTAAAATGTTTTGAAAAACGGTAAGAGAAAAATCTTCATTTTAAGAGAAGAAATTAATGTACATTGAAATTGTACTGCTAAAAAACATTTTAAAGCTTTATTAGGAAATTACAAATGAGGAGGATGTTTTATAATACCTTGGTTGACACCTAGAGAAGAATAAAATTATTGCTTACATATAAGTAACCTTAAATTATGGATGGAAACTTCTCTTTAAACTTTTGATACAACAAAATTGAGCCAAAATGGATACAAAAACAAAGTCAACCACAGAATTAAAAACTTGGGTGAACTTTGATCAGTGCCCATTTCCACCCTAAGAATCAAATCTTTATACCCAAAGTAAAAGTTATGCAATTTACCAAACCACATTCCACCGCGGGACAGCTAGAGATTTTGTAGTTTATGACTTGTGCCTTACATTGGCTCCACTTTCCTCCTTTCTACTGCTTATGTATTTTGGTATCTTGGAATAATATTCAACTTATCTTCTAAAATTGCTCCTCGGCCAGTGTGCGAGGACTTTTAATGTAATATCCTTGGAGGGAGGATGGTATACACACCTGCAATCCCAATACTCTGGGAGACTGAAGGAAGAGGATCACAAGCTCTAGCCCAGCCTAGTCAATTTAGCGAGACTCTGTATCAAAATTTAAAAAAATAAATAAAGTTGGGGATTGAGCTCAGGGTGAAGGTTCTAGGTTCAATTTCCAAGAATGGTTTTAAAAAGAAAAGAAAAGCCACTCACACCCCAAAATACCTCCAAAACCTAAACTTTGTACTTTAATACTCCCGAGACCATGATTTTCCTGAGAACCGCCGCCCCCCGCCCCCGACCCACACTCATTCCCGTCAGTACCAGATAGCTAAGGATGAGACAGGAATTAGGAGTCAGGGACCGGGCAACCCGAGGGTGCGGGGAAAGGGATGGCAGGTGAGGCTTGGGAGGAAGGAGCGTAGAGCCTTAGGGCAGACGGCGGAGCGCGGGGAGCGAACTCCGCCCAGCGGGCGAGACCTTCAGGGCGACTAGCAGGGGGCAAAGGGCGGGCGAGGAACCCGAGGAGCTGCGAGCTTCCAGGGCTGGGGACTACGGGCGGCAGGGCCAAAGGCTCCCTCCACAGCCGAGCTCCTCAGGCGGAAACTGAGGCCAGAGGGGACCCACGAGCGCTCCTTCAGGCCTGGCCTTTGGGGCTGACTCCGAGAGCTGAGGAGACCGTGGGGAATGGGGCAAGGCACGCGCGGGGATGTGGGGGCCCGCAGCCCACCTTCTGCTGTTACGGCCCGCCTGGACTCGCAGCCGGAGCCCTACAGTCGGCCCAGGTTGTGAGGCGAGGTGCGCCGGAGCCGGGAGGAGTCACCCGGAGTTCTCCTCAGGTTTGAAGCACAGAACTCCAGGGCCGCCAGGTGGCTGTGGGGCGGCGGAGGGGCGTGGTTTAAAAGGGGGAGTGGTGAGAGGAGGGGCGTGGCCAGGAGGGCGTGGGACGAAAGTAGCTGGGATGGAAGTCTGGGAGCTGGGTGGCTGTGGCTGGGCCGAGAGTAAGGAGCCGGGTACTCAGTCCGGGTGAGGAAACTCCGGTGTTCTGCGGGGCTCTCTGGCAACGGCCTCCGACACCTGTGAAACAAGAGAAGAACCGGGCCTGGGAGCTATATCCCACTATGAAACATGATTATTACATCCTATCTCTGAACATGCATATGATGCAATCCAGTCACTTCTGTTTACTATCTAGAGGTCCGTGGGAAAATTATTTAATCCCTCCACCTCAGTTTTTCTCATCTGTAAAGTGGAAAGGATAAAAGAAGTACCTGTGCCACAGGGTATTATAAAAAATAAATGACATGAAGCGTGTACAGAGCCCACGATATGTATTCAATAAATTTAGCTATTGTTGTTGCTGTTGTTGTTGTTTTAAACAGCCTTTTGGGAGACAGCAAACATTTTCCATCCTGGAATATCACAGCTTTCAATACCAGAAATCAATTGCTAGGATTTGAGAAAAATCATACCAGAGCACAGTTTGTCCTCTTTAGCTTTGTAATAAATACTAATAAATCTTGGAAAAGTAACGATATCCAATTTAAGGTTATTGAGAAGTCCAGACTGCTTGCTGAGAATTTCAGTAGACTGCCTCATTCACTTTTAAAACAACCTCACAAAACAGTGATTACTTTTCCCTCTTCGGGGATAAGGAAAGGGGTCTAGAGAAGAAAAGCATCCTGCTCAAAGTCATGTAGTTGGGCTTGGTGAAGAGAGGATTAAATCTCAAGTTTAGCCCCTATTGTTTCACCTCAGAGGATGATGTGTCAGTGGCTGCTCACAGAGAGATCTATTTTAATCTTGATCCGTCAGCGAGCCCATCACTTCATCTTCAAAAGTGATTTTAATCTCTTTACTTCTTGCTATCTCTTCCATTCTACCTGCGCCCAAGCTACCTCTCTCCTAGGAAAGCTCCAATAGCCTTCTAGATGATCTTTTTCAAGTCACTTGCCTACTGTAAACCCATTCTCCACACTGAACGAGAGGAGTTTTTAAAAAATAAGAATCAAAGCATGATTCTCCCAACCACTCTCTATAAAGCGCCTTTAAAGCCTTCCTGTTGACCTTTGAATAAAATTTAAACCCCGTTTCAACAACTACCAGGCCCCATATGATCTCCTCCATACTTGCTATTATGGTTTCATTTTGTATAGGTGCATTCACCTTAGCAATAAATTTTTGGTTTCACAACCCTTTTTGTATGAAACCATCCAAGGGGCTTGGGAGAAACATACTGATGTGTTCATATGGCCATTTTTCTCTGCAAACTTTGCAGAAATAAGATATTTCACTGTGATTCTTTAAGATTGATATCTCTTTCTACTCCATCTATCACACTGTGTTGGTGGCAATGAAGTACCCGAAGGATGCAGCTAAGACAGAGTTAAGTGCATGTTTAATTTAAATTTAGAGAGATCTATTTATGTGGTTCATGGTCATTTCCCTGTATGCTTAAGTCATTGCTATCCATCTCAGTGCAGGAAAGGCTTCCAGGAACATGGATACTGCCCCCAAGCTGATTACCCTCCATGTGACTGAGGAGGCAGGGCCATCAATTTTGTTAATACTCAGCTTTAGGAGTACATACAATGCACACAGGAAAAAGAAGCAAGATTTATAACATACAGAATCAGAAGCTAGTTTATTGAAAATTCTTCCAGTCATCAGACATATTAACTGTAAGCAGAGGATTTGGTTCTCATAAAAGCTTAATTTAAGCAGCTTTCCCTGAAACCTCTGGCAGTGCAGCATATATAGTTACAAATGCACTCTGTGTTTTTTCTTCTCTTCTCACAGAAATTGCACAAACTAGAAGATATCAGTCTCGTATGTGTAGAGCACAAGCATATGGTACTACTATAAAAAGCTAGTACATCCATGTGTGAAGGTGCATGTTGCAGGATCTCATTGTATTGTATCATGTGTTACTTGGTATATCTGCTTTAGTGATTTCTGATGCCTATTGTTGAATTGTCCTGTAATCATAACAAAAGTAATAATTCATTAAGAGGATCATATATGTTTTGAAACAAAATTATGAATAGACTCGAATCATTTGGTAATCTAATTAACAGCAATGAATCATATAAATAAATTGGAAATTTTTGAATTTTCCCTATTATTTTATATTAAATACTGCCAATTGATTAATAAAATATAGACCTTATAAAACAGCACTATAATAAAATGTCCAACTCATAAAGCATTAATAATAAACTGGTTAATGTGCTTGTCGACTCAAAGAATATTTAAAATTAATCACTGTAGAGTATGATTTAGAGGTTTTATATTAAAACTAAGAAGCTTTCCAAAAATTTTGATAAATAATCCTAAAAATTTACATGGCATTAAGCTTTACAACTTAAAGAGTTGTTTAACATACCCACTCAAAAAGTTAATCAACCTGGTAGAAAGACTGAATTATCTCCCTGGTTTCTTTACAGAAAATAATATCACACAATTATTGGCATAGAATATATAGCAAAAAATAGAGTAAATTATAATAGAGCCATATCACACAGCTTATTGATAAAATATTATGAATCATTTCTGGATTGTATGAGATTTGTAATATTTGTAAGCTTTAAAAATTTCATAATTTGTTATTTTTCTAATTGTAAATTAATTATCTTCCTAACTTAATCCTTGTGTTTGTGATGCTGTATTTTTTTCTCCTAGGACTGGGGATTAAACCCTGGCTTGACACATGCCAGGCAAGCATTCTACCACTAAGCTATATCACTGACCTCTTCAATTTTATTTTGAGACAAGGTCTTGCTAAGTTTTCCAGGCTGGCCTTGAACTTGTGATCCTCCTGCCTCAGAGCCTCATCTCCACCTCCTGGGATTTCAGACATGCACCATCATACCTAGCTATGTTCTATCTCTTAAGGAGTACAATAAGTTGAATAAGCTTTAGGCCCCACCAACTTGGATCTGTTCCTGTTCAGCACTCTCCCTTCTGCTCCATAGGCTCCAGCAAGATTGGATAACTTCTGTCCCCATGGCTTAAGAACTTCCTGGCACATAGAGTTTCAGAAACACATTTGTAAATGAATGAATTAACTCAAAATCTGGGATAGTAGAGTGTTAAACTGCATGAAACCATAAATGTCTATTTTATTTTATTGCCAAATCTCCACACCTCGACAATTAATGCCTGGCACATAGCAGGTATGCAGTAGTTAAAAAAAAAACAAAAAACAAATCCAGGCCTATTGAACTACAGACAATGCTTCTTTCCTTTGCCCTTTAGTTATTCCCAGTTTACGGGAATGGTGAGGGACTTCATCAAGATTCTCTCCACTTCTCTGAGAGGCCTCATTTTCACTTTAGGTAAGGCTAAATGGATGGCCAGAGGAGAAGCAATTTGCCCCAGGTTACTCAGTCAGTGGTGAAGTTTAAAACCAGCTCTCTCTGGGACCAGGAATTCTCCACACCCCTCTCACAAGGATGCCCACAGTAAGAAAGAGGACAGGGCAGTGGATTCCCTGAAGGATGACTGTACACGGACACTAGGTGGCGCTCCCCTACAGTGCACAGGACCCCACCACCACCACAGGGTACCCTCATCTTTAATGACGCATGGTAAGTAAAAACATTTATTAGAAGCCAAACTTTGAATGTGAGTTTTATTTGTTCTCAGAGAATTGCATTTACTTCCTTGGCCACTGGTCTCCGGGTCTCAGTCTTCTGTCTAATGGGAACATCTACCAGTCAGATGATGCATTATGATGACATGCCTGTGCATATGGATGTTCAACAAACAGTTTTGACAACTACAGTCATTTCTCATTATCCTTGGGGGTTTGGTTCCAGGACCCCGACAGATGCCAAATCCTACAGTGCCCAAGTCTCTTACATACTAATGTAGTATTTGCATATAAATTATACACATACTCCCATATGTCTAAATTGTCTCTAGACTACTTGCAATACCTTAAACAATGTAAATGATATGTAAATAGTACTTGTTCAACTCTAATATTTAAAGAATAACCGCAAGGAAAAGATGTCTGTATGTGTTTAATACAGGTACAATTTTCTTTTCTGAATATTTTCTAGGCTTGGTTGCTTGGATACACTGATACAGATGGAGGGCCATGTGTAAGATTCTTAGCCCTACCCAAGGGCCAGAGAATGATTTCCAAGAAGAATGAAAGAGAAATTCTATTTTGGTGATCTTCATCGGTGATGGGCTGGAAAAAGTCCTCACATCCTAACATCCTACCACTGGAATGTATAAATGTTACATGGGGGAAGTCCTTTAAAATGTCAGTAAGTAAGTATCTTAGTATAAGAGATTATCCCAGGTTATCTGATGGGTCCTGAAATCAATTGCTTGAATCTTCATAAGAGGTAGATGAAGGAAGATCTTACATACAAAGTAGAAGGTTGCCAGAAGACACCTACAGAGACTGGAGTGATGAGGCAGCCTCAAGCCAAAGAGTGCTTGCAGACACCAGAAACTGGAAAAAAGAAGGAGGAGCTCCTTTTTAGAGTTTCCAGAGGGAGTTCAGCTTGGCCAACACCTTGCTGTTGGCCCAGTAAAACTGACTCTAGCACAATAAGATAGAACTGTGCCCTGGGAGGTGGGTGGGTGGGCAAAACAGAACAGGGTGGAAGAGTGGGGCAGAAATTCTACATGTGGACTAGGGTTCAGGATCTTCTGGGAGCAGAGAAGGATGTACTGTACACTAGCGGGGACACTAGATTATGGTCTGCCTACTACCCAGGAGGACTCCACAATTGTTGTCCCAGAGTCCCACTCACACATAGAGATTGCCTTGCCCAGACCCCTCCAGAAGGACAGTGAAGGGGCCACGAGAGCCTGGTATCTCTGCTTCCTCTTTCCACAGCATACCCCTTCCCACTGTGGGTAACCAGAACAGCAGCACTAGATCATTAGAGCCCTTACTTGGGCAGAAGAAGGGCCTGAGACTTAATGTCACCACTGTCTTTTGCTCATCAGGTACTCTGAGCAACTTCACTCTCCTAAACCTCAGTTTCTTCATCAAAAGACAGAGATAAAACTCACCCTTGCAGAGATGTTGAGTGTAATAATATTTTCACAGCACTTTATGTGGTGCTGGAAGTTAGAGCAGATGATTAATAGTCAAAAGAACCATGATATAGACCTCATTAGCTGACAGGCACCCTATTAACTCATTTATTCTGTAAGACCTAAAGTCTCACTTCCACTCCATGGAGCGTGAACAGCCAAAAGGCCTCCACGATGCTGGGCCCTAACACCCAGCGAGGCTCCGGGAACACGACGGAGAACCGAGAAACCCAGGAAGGAACACACCAGCCTAGATGGTAAAAGACCTTTATTAGTCTGGCCAGACGGCACTCCCGGAGCCAGGTGGCTCAGAGAGGCAACTGCTCAGGGGCTGAGGTACTTTTTATAAGGTTTTTCTAAACAAAGAGTCAGGGAATTCACAGAATAAGACTGCAAACACATTGCTTATATTATGCAGGAAATGTTCTAGGGTCACCTTTTGTCAAACCATTTGCCCCTGGGCGGGCTGTTAACCAAGGTAGCAATTAGCATATGAAGAAGCACAGTCTGGCCTATTAGCATGGAGTCACTTTAGCCCATTCAAGTCTTACAATTCCTCATGACAAACTCAGAGAGTAGGCAATACCTTCAGGAGACCAGCTTGAAACTACACTATTGATTTGGCTTATGAATTTGGCTATTGATTAAAAAATTGAGCCATTCCAAGGCCTAAGTGTTGTAGGGGTCAGGGGAAGTGGAAGTCACTGGAGATCCCTGCAGTAGGTCGTAGCCTCCTATGAACTACCACAGCACTGACAAAAGGTTAAAGAACAGACAGAAGGAGACTTAGAGTGAAGCGTCTGAGTCTTGAGTCCTGGTAAGTGCTGCTGATAGTAGCAAAGACAAAAGCCTCCAAGCACATCCAGTATTTAATGAATACAATTGAGAAAGAATAGGGAGCTAAGGAGCTTTGAAGGCATCTGGTGAAGTACTGCCCAAAACCCGACATGATGACACCAGGCGGGGCTGTCAGAGAGTTGGCACTGTTTATCTTGCCAGGTTAGAAGAAACCTGTACTGGGACCAGGTGCAATTAGCAGGCAATCTACAAGGACAGTGAGAAGCGATCATTCAGGGGAAAGGAATTGGGGTCACACAGACCTCAACTGCACATAATTCAGCAGGTCTCCTCCACTTCAAAGACCAGGACTTAGGCTTTGATGACAGCCATTAGCAAATGAGCAATACTAGTCCAGCTCTGCTAGCTGATATTCCTATTTGAATCACTCAGGGCTTCGATCTGACTCCCGATATAAAACAATATAGACAAATTATGGAAGGCAAGAAGCACATGACACTCATATAGCCCACCAGTACTGGGCAGGGATGTCTCCTATGAAGTGTGACTTGCTAATTGAGCCTTCAGCTAGTGTACGGAGACAGACATCCCTATGCCAGTGGTCACAATTGAGAGCTCAATGATTGATGAGATTGTGAAGTCTGTAACAGCAAGAAAACACTGCAGCTGAGGAATTATGTATGACTCTGTGCAGCCACTCTTCAAGATCAAACATCAGCTAAAGATAATGCAGGTGGCTTGTTAGCTACAACCTGCAAGATAGCACAGGGAGCTTGTTAACTGTGGCCTGACCCTCACAAGTATACACAGTTACTTTTCCAAGCCTGACTCATTAGTGCATTAGCTCTGCTATTTTCTAAATCTGCCTTTACAACCCTTGCTGTGTTGTATAATCATAAATACTGACTAATCCAGAGCTCGTGGTCTTTAGCCAGGAGAGAGCTAAGATCAGTTCCTGCCCCCACATAAAAGACTTTGTTCTTTATTCTTTTTTCTTTGTTCTTTGAATATTATTCTTTCATCCCCTGGTGTATCCACAATCAGGCAATAACTAACTGGTGATCTAGCAGCAGCCCTATCCTAGACATAATCAAACTGAGGCCCAGAGAGTTTAACGACTTTCCCAAGGGCACACGATCTGAATTTGAATGAGATTTAAACTTAGACTTTGAAACATAGGGATTTGGAAGATAGAATTTGAACTATATGATTTCAACACAGGCAATGAGACTTAAAGTTGAGCCTACAACCACCATTTTTGACCTAAAAAAATTGTAGCTGTCATGATTAATAATAACCGAGATTTACCGAACCCTCCTTATGTGCCGGGAACATGTTGACTCACTGCATTGGCTCGGAGCTCTATGAGGTCATTTCTTTTATTACCCCCACTTTTTAGAACAGCAAAAAAGCACAAAAAAGATATGTTATTTGTTCAAGGTTAAAAAGCTAATAAGCAGAAGACCTAAGATTCAAAACAGGCAGCAGGTATCATGTGTTGATGAAAAAGAGGAGGAAGAGATGAAGAAATAAATTTACTTTATGTTAACAACCTATCATGTACATGGGTCAAGAGCTGAGCTGACCAATCAGAATTCCCTTTCTGTAGACTCTGACTTAAAGAAGCATCAGGAATCTGGGCATAATAGTGCATGTCTGTTATCCCAGCTTCTTGGGAGGCAAGAGGATCACAAGTTCAAGGCTAGCCTGGACAGCTTAGCAAGACATTGTCTCAAACTAAAATGAAGGAGAGAACTTGCCTAGTATACATGAAGCCCTAGGTTCAATCCTGGACACTGCAGGGGAAAAAATGTATCAGGAGAATAAAATTGTTATCAGTCAGACTGTAATTGAAAAGATGCAGGTAGAAGACCAGAAAGTAAAGTGCAGATGTGAATTAAAGAAACCCAAGGGCTGGGCATTTAGCTTAGTGGTTCTACCACCTCCTTCGCAAGTGCAAGGTCCAGAGTTTGATCCCCGGGAGGAAGGAAGGAAGGAAGGAAGGAAGGAAGGAAGGAAGGAAGGAAGGAAGCTACATGTGCAGTTGTTCCAGCTGACAGCTTCAGCTAAGGTCCCAGGCAACAGCCGCTGTCACAGTGTCACAGCCAGTTGTATGCATGAATTGGCCTTGGAGATGAATTGAGTCATAAGCACCACCTGACTATAATAACTTGAGAATCTAAGCAACAGCTAAGCCCAGGTAACCCTTGGACCCATGGGAAATAGAACTCGCAACAATCATAAATAACTGTTGCAATAATAAAATGATTGTTGTTATTTTAAGTTTGGGGACTTTGTCACACAGCAATTATATGCTTTGTCAGGCAGCACAGCCATTCAAGGATGCAGCCTGACCGTTTCTCATCAGTTAGAGTGGGAGTTCTGCCCTAACTCTGGGTTTCACATACTAAATTATTCTTTTTCCTCCTAAATTTTTAGCCTGTGACCACATTAATCCTTTTGCCATCTGTATCCCTTACTCTCCTCACTCCAGATGTCAGGCTTGGGTTCTATTTTTCCTGCCTTAGCAGAGAAAATCTTGGATTTTCCTTTCTGAGACCAGGACTGATATGCTCCTGAGGTGCTCAGAGGCTGCCCTGAATGGACACGATTTCTAATGTGGCCCTCCAGGACCCACGCTCAGGATGTCACTCAGGCTGCCATTACCAGCCCCTGTGCCAGCATCTGGGCCCTGTGTGAGCTTGTTCTGATCTGATATCAAGAACTGAACATTCATTCCAGAGGTGAATTCATGGAGAAGTTCAAATACGCACCAGAGGATCAGCTTGCAGGCTTTAGGTCTAACTTCCCAGACTGGGGTGTGGATGGGGATTGGCAGGAACTTTTGGTCTGTGAACCCAGCTGTGGGAAACAGGAAGAGGTGGAGGGTTTTAGTGTTTGGCACTGGGTGAGACCAATGCCACTTGTGCATTGCGTGGCCAGACTGAGAGTTCTCTAGGCGATGGTCACTAATAAGCCTATTTGTACCTGTCAGTTTCACAAATCAGCCTCTGATCACATGGCAATAATAACAAGCTGCCATTTATTAATGTTGTGTAAAGTGATTTATATGTATTATCTCATTTAATCTGCACAAGGACCCTATGTATAAATACTATTTTTTTCAAGGTCTCAGTTCAAATTTAATAAGACACTACAAAAGGTCACTACATGGGGAGACGCCCTGCTACTGGTGCATCATACATTAACAGATGGTCTACTCCACAGCTCAGCTCAGGCCATTACTACCAGTGGAAGAAAAGTTGAGAGGGTTTTCCTAGCTCCTATAGGAAAGGCTTGTATTGCCCCACACATCTTGTGTTTAAAGCACGAAAAAAAAAAATACAAAAGAGCTTTTGTTCTCATGGCGCAGTGCTCACTTCTGCTTAGAGAAATATTCTTTGTTCTTCTGGACATCAGACTTGATAGTATCACTTCCAGGTTTCCACCCAGCTGGGCAAACTTTTCCATGTCCATCAGTGAACTGGAAGGCCTGAATGAGTCTGAGTCTCATTTACCGAGTGGCCAACAGGAAGGCTACTTACTGTGATCTGCAGAAGAGTACCCTTATCATCAATGATAAAGAGGCCTCTAAATGAGATGACTTCATCAGCCTTTAAGACCCTATAATCCTGAGCAATGGTGCGCTTGGGCTCTTATGCCAAGGGGATGTTCACAGGCCCCAATCCTCCTTTCCTCGGTGTGTTGGTCCACACCAGGTGACAGAAGTGAGAATCCACAGAAGCGCCAATCATATGGCAGTTAAATTAAGTTTCTTAAATTCTTCTGCCCCGTCACTGAAAGCAATTATCTCTGTGGGGCACAAAAAGGTGAACTCAAGAGGGTAAAAGAAGAACACAATATATTTTCCTTTGTAGTCAGACAAGCTGATAACTTTGAACTGACCATCTTGGCATAACAGCTGTGCTTTAAAGCTGGGGGCAGAGTGCCCAATTTTGGCATTTCCTGAAGACATCTTATTATCAGCAGTTCCCACAGTGAGGCCTCTTAGGCAGGGGAACTCACACCAGGGAGGAAGAGGACCTGTCGTAAATACTTTCATTATCCCCTTTTTATAAATCAGGTAATTGAGGCTCGGAGAGGCTGAACAATTTACCTAAAATCAAAAAGTAAGTGAATGGTAGAACTGGAATTAAAACTCAGGTTAACAACCATGTTTGTAATTAGGCTCATGCAAATTAAGATCAAGATGACAATCACAGGCAAAATAATACTGAGGGACATTCTCACCCCAAAATGTGTGTTCATTGTGGGGGACCTGGTGATTGTATCCAGGACTTTGCACATGTTAGGCAAATGCTCTTCAAATGAGTCATATCTCCAATTCTTGAATGACAATCTAATACTATCATTTTGGGTCCATTACATTGGCAAAACTAAGATTGTTAAAATCAGGTGTTGGTCAGATGGGGGACCCATGAAACTCTTACATGCTGCTTTCTAGGGTTAGGTTGGATAATTTATGTTGTAAAACAGGTTTCTTGTAAACTTGAGATTTCATATTCCCTCAATTCAACTCCAGGTATATATTCTAGATAATCTTGTACTTATGCATCAGGAGACATGAACAAGCATAGTTACAGTGCACTGATAAGAATAGTGAAAGACTGTCAGGGACAGGTAGGAAATAGAAACCATACAAGTTTTCTTTTAACACAAAGAATGTAATATAAAGAATTGTTGCCAGGCATGGTGGTACACACCTGTAATCTCAGCACTCGGGAGGCTGAGGCAGGAGGATCGCTGTGAGTTTGAGACCAGCCTGAGCTACATAGTGAGTTCCAGGTCAGCCTCAACTACATAGTGAGACCCTGTCACAAAAAAACAAAAACAAAAAAAGAATTGTTAACTGGTGTAGTTGTTAACTGGGTGACTGTAAGGTTATAAAAAGAAGTCTAAGATAGCAATCTACCACACCCAGGGCTAAGTAACAGAAAAGAAGCTAAAACTATTAAAACCTAAAAACTCAAAGGAAGAGGTCTTTGGAGCTGTGCGCAGCTAGGCTAGTTTCTCTGCACTTCAGCAGACGGTCCTAGAAGCTGGGTCCCACAGAAGGAGCTGGTGCCATAGAAGAGATCTCTGTTGTGAGGCAAAACAGCCTTGTGGGGATGCTCAGAGCATCAAGAAGCCTGCAGGACACGGAGCCCCTTCTCTTTACTCTTGCCTTGGAGTCCAACCTTATTTGCTTATTGGCAAAGACTAACGGAGACCAAGAAGGAGAAATGTGGGTGGCAATGTCCCAGCTACCACATCACAGAGCAGGTAGGTACTTGGTAGTTTTATATTATTAAATATTCTACAAGAATCCCAAATTAATCTGACTCTAAACATAATACTTACAAGGTACCCTTCTACTCTACCTCTTCAGGCAATGAACTTACTTCCTCAAATTATAAGAATATTCTAACAAATTGTAATCAGATTTTCAAAAACCAAAAGGCCTACTTATAACTCAAACATCCCCATACCATGATTTTTATTTTCAACTTTTCTGTTTTAATCTTTCTTAGAGGCAGACATGATTTTCATGGTTATGATTACAGCACCCCACACAATAAAATGACCTGCTGTATAAGAGCTTTGCTGCCTGCTGTTATGGAGGAGGTCATTGTCACAAACCCTGAATGAATGAAATGCCATTCTCTTACTGATTTCTCCTCTTTGCTTTTTTGAACATCTGGATTGTGTTTCTCGGGAGTGTTTTGGTTGCAAATGAGGGAAGGTCTACTCAAATGAGCTTAAGCAGAAACAAACCTGAGTGTGCGTGTGCCTGTGGGTGGTAGAAGTCAACAGAAAGAATGCAGAGGTGAGAGAGAGAGGGAGAGGGAGGGGGAGGGCAAAAGCATCTGGGAGAGAAAAGGGACATAAAAAAGGTACTAAAATGTGTTATGTACTTGTACTGACTCCTCACAATGAATGTAATCATTCCGTGCTGCAAACATGTACTAATAAAAACGAAATTCATACAATGAAAAAAAAAATACAGAGGTAACTCACAAACTAGAGCCTAAAACTAGAATCTAGAAAGAACCAGTGCTCTTCTTCTCTGTTCATTTCTTGTGTAGCCCTCTCTTTATTTCTCTTTATAGATTTGTCTCTTTCTTCCCTACTGTAAACAGGTCTTTTCTGTCTGGCAGTAAACATGACCACTGGCTGCCTCTGCTTTGTAATTATAGTAAAAGGAGCACTCAGACGGCAATTCCAGGGAAGGACTATGATTGGCTCTGCTGAATCACATGCCCACCTATTAAGCCAATCCTGTTCTTAGGACAACCTTGAATTATATAATTAGCCTGGCTTGGGCACATGCCTATGCCATGGCCAGGGTGGGACCAGGACCTTTCGTTAACAGATGAAGGAGGGTGGAAAGGCTGGGCGAGAAGATAGAAAACTCAGAGGAGGAGCTCTGTGGACGGATCACTGCGTAGGGTTCCGATTTTTTCACCACGGCCGCTCTAGGTATCCATTGTCACACATCAAATCTTTGTTTTTGTTTTTTAAACAGTTGCTTTGTGAAAAATTTTCAAGTATAGGATTATAGCCATGGGTGCTTGTGAGAAGCTATGTAATGCATTTGTGCTTTAAAGCATGCTCACATCTGATACTTTATTTAACACACACACACACACACACACACACACACACACACACACACCCTCTGATAAATGACAGAAAAGGAACCAGAGACATAGCAAAGCTAAGTGATGGATCCAGGACACAGCAGAGAGCAGAGACAAACCCCGAGCCCTAGCTTCATGACTCCTATCCCAGTTCTCTCTTCTCCCAATCATGAAGTTTATTTATTTATTTATTTATTTATGGTTTTTGAGACAGGGTCTCACTACGTAGTTGAGACTGACCTGGAACTCACTATTTAGCCCAGGCTGGTCTCGAACTCACAGTGATCCTCCTGCCTCAGCCTCCCCAGTGCTGAGATTACAGGCATGTGCCACCACGCCCGGACATAAAGTTTAGATTAGAGGTGGCAGGGTTGGGGCCCGTACCATCTCTGGCCAATTAAGGAACAGAGCTTCTTCTGCTCTCTTCCCCTTTGAGGAGCGGGGCCAGCCCTCCGGAGCCAACTGTCTGGAAGCCCCTGCTTTCAGAGCCTGCTCTAGCTCTGATGGGGGATGTCCCCTCGCTGGACCTGCCGTCTTCCCACTGGGTACTTTGTGTGCGCAGCTCCTCCAGGACACCATGGAGATGCTTCAGGGTAAGCAGGAGCTGCCGGTCCTGGATCTGCATCTCAGACTGGGAGACAGAAAGAGTCGGTGAGGGGCATGAAAAGCTCTGGCTACTGCTCTGCCTTGTCAAGTCCCTCCTTGTCAGAGACAAACTTTCTGGGAGCTACACTACCAGCAGATGCCTCACATTCTTTATCTGAAAAGTACAAAGCAAATTATTTACCTTTCAGGGTCCTTAGGAGGAACGAATGAATTAACCCACTGGAATACACACTCTAACGTGTGATGGGTATAGCTCTACTATATTCTTTAATCCTCACTGAAACAAATAATTTTACTGGTATTAAGGGATAGTGGCTCCTTTTACATTAAAAGAGTGAAGTAAATTCAGCGGGTTGAGCCCTCTAGAACAGTGGTTCCTGTCACATAGTCTGGGAATACTTGGGTACCAAAAACTCCTTCTAGGATCAGTAAGGTCAAAACTACTTTAATTATAATACTCATTATTTTCCTTTTGTACTCTCATTTTCTTGTTAGTATACTGTAGTGTTTTCTAGAAACTAATGACATCTCAGAAAATTAAATGCAGAAGCAGATAGGAGAATGCAGCTGTCTTCTGTTAAAACATACTGAAGAGCCACAATGTGCCACAGTGCCACTCTTCTCACTAAATATTTGCTTTGAAAAATAGTTATTTTAAATTTTAAATAAAAACAATTTTATTAACACCTGAAAAGTTGGGTGTGATGGCACATGCCTGTCATCCTGGCACTCAGGAGGCTGAGGCAGGAGGGTCACCGTGACTCTGAGGCCAGCTTGGACTGTATACTGAGTTCAAGAGCAGCCTAAAGTACATAGTGAGACCCTCCCTGTCTCAAAAATATAAGAAAACAAAAACATGTAAAGAGGTTTTTAAACTGAATTAATAAATAAATTTATAAACTGACTTCTAATTCAGTCAGTATTGATAGCTACAATTTATATGCACAAGAGATTTTGTTTGCTTAATAATTTTGGACACATATGCTTTTTTTTTGTACTGTGGGAGCCTGACTGAACCAGAGTGACTCCATGTTGACCAGCAAACGACCTAGAGACTGTCGCTCCCCCATCCCTTACAGGATAACTAATGATTGATTGTGAATTGTTGGGTGGCTGCTTTGAAGTAACTGGGAGGCTAGATGGAAACTGTAGTGAACATAGAAACCCAACATAAATCACACCACTCCTTGCTTGCCTGTAGTGGAATGTTCTGAACTTTGTAATCTAAGTTGAAAATGGAAAAATGGATAATCAATCTGCTGATCATTAGTACGTGACGGTCAAGTATATGCCTGATGACCACTAGCTCAGATTAACTGATTCTTTGCCTTTGTCCTCTCTCTGTAAGTTTTAAGTGTAACTCCCCCCTTCATCCCAATATAAAATGGCCTCTGTTTCTGAGCTGGCCGCCTCTCTGAGCTACTTGGCTTGGGGAGTGCCATCTGGCCAGACTAATAAAGGTCTATTAGCCAACTTGCCTGGTGTGTTCCTTCCTGGGTGACTCTTGCTATCAGACAAGCTCCTGGAGCCTCGCTGAGCTACTGAGCCCAGCATCGTGAAGGCCTCTTGGCTGTTCACGCTCCAGGAGTAAAAGTGAGACTTAAGTCTTACGGTACCAGGGATCGAACTTAGAACCTTGTGCTTGCAAGGCAGGTGGCGGCACCACTGAACTAAATCCCCAGCCATGAGACATATAAGTTTTGAGAACTGCTGCATAAAAACTCTGCTGTCATCAGTTACCCACTGCAATCCTTCTACTTTCCTGTTGGAATACATTTTCTGGTTTAAGTCCTCTTTTGAAATGTTAAAACTTTGTTTTCTGACTAGGTAATTTTTACACGATACAACATTTAAAAGCCACAAAATGGCATATCCAATTACCTTGGGGGGGATAGGACTGGTTCCAGCATCCCTGTGAATCCCAAAATCCAAGGATGTCAACTTCCCTTATATTAAATGTGGGATTTGCATACAACCTACACAATCCTCCTTTATAGGTTTCTTAAAATATCAACTACAGTTTTAATGCTATGTGTGTGGAACAAAGACAAGGAAGAAAAGTCTATACATGTTTAGTATGGACACAATTTTTTCCACACAAATACAATGCCTTCAATCTATGGTTGGTCAGCTGCAGATATGGAACCTGCAGAAACAGGCCAGTTGCAGCTAAAGGCTTTCCTTGCTCACTCCAACCTCACAATACAATCCTTACTTCCCAGAGGTGAGCACTGTGGAAGATTCCCAGTTTACCCTTCTGACCCTGATTAGGACACAACCCATGATCATATAAGCAGATTTTCAACTTCTTCATTTTCTGTCTAACTTTACAAGAGAAAATGATAAATATTACTTCTCTGTTTAAAAATAATGTCTTGAGGAGGGGATGGCTAGGGTGTAGCTCAATGTAGCATTTGCAAGGACCTGTAGTTTGATTTTCAGGACCACAAAAAAAAAACAAAAAAAAACTAAAAAAAACCCAAAACTTTGCTTTTCATACCAACTGCTTTACAAATGAGAAGGTCAAGTCTGTGTTCTCCCTTTAGCATTAAAAGAACTGCCCAGAGGGAGGGCTGGGAGAACTTGGAAGGGGAAGGGACAGTGCAAACTACCTCCCTGGGAATGAGAATTCCTCTGACTTTCCTCTAGGGGCTTGGGCCCTATCATCCCAGGCAACACTGAGTGTGTGTTTTCTAGGGATTTCCTACATATCCTTTTGTCCAACTTTTAGCACCACCTCTGAATATGTGTTGGTAAGACCATGACAGGGTGTCAGCATGGCAACAGTGTTACGGGATGTGATAGACCTGATGCCTCTGACTTGGGGGACCAGCATCCTGATCAAACTGGCTTCTGCAGCAGGGAAGTGTGTTCAACCTCTTTGTTGCATGGCTCTATTTCCCTCTGCCTGAACCAGAGGCTCAGACATCAGGTTGGTGAGCTTAGTTGTCATAGATGGCTGCAGCTCTTTCTCCTCTTATGGACCCACTAAGATTTTGAGGCTCACAGGGTGCCAGGAAAAGAGGGAGAACACCTCACTTTTGCCCATAGTGGTCATTGCCCTTCCTGACTTATTGTGTCCTTTTGCTGCATAAAGTGATTGTCTAGTATGGGCCCTCCCATATCATGGTCAAGGAAGCATCTTGTGTGGGCTCTAGAAAGGCCCTTAAGAAATTGTATAAATTAATAAAATTTAAAAAGTTCAGGGATTTGTAAGAAAAGTTCTAGGCTCTTTTCATGACACAGGTGCTTGGGCTTGGGTAGCTGAGCACTGGGTAGGACCATGGCCCCCTTGCTGCCTGACTCTTCTATGGGGAAATAGGCAATTTGGGCTGTAACACTAGGCAATCTCCACTTAGGCTTTTCCTGTGCAAAAGAGACCAGGCAGGACCAGCTGCCCAGATCTGGATACCTGTGGAAAGGACATAGAAACAGCCCCACTTCTGGGATTCCCTGGTCCCATGAGAATCCTCACTGGGTCAGCCTTCCACTCTGGAGTGAAGAGAGCCACTGGGTTCCAGCTTGCCTGTTGTCTGGCAACCTATAAAGTCACTTTTGGACAAACTGCTCTGTCCTTCCCCATAACGGGAAGAGGTTATATTGGGATACAAGCCCTTTCTGCAGCTCCCCAAACTGCCTCTTTTTCTCTCTTGTGGGGAACCCCTTTAGTTTTGGATTTGGAAATAATATTGCAGAGGTTGGCATAAGACATCACTTTCCAACCCATCACCAAGGCCCCGAGTAACAGCACATATATTCAGGAGAGATGGCACCACACAGTGTGGATCTTTGCCCATTGGAAACGAGATAGGAGCAAGCTGCACAGACCCATTTTCTCTCCTTTCTCTCTTCTCCAAGGTGCAGTTCCTTCTTCAACTCCTGCTGAGAGGTCCTGCCGCCAGCTAGCTACCCAGAGACCTCCTGGTCTCTTTGTGGTTTCTTTTGCAACGGCAGCCTGCTTGGTTCTATCATGTGCCACTGACATAGAAGGGACGTTTGCCTCCACTCCCTATTCTTTCTCTCTCAGCACTTTGGGTTAGCTCCTTAATCCTTGCCTGAGCCTCTGTTTTCTGGAGGATCTATGTTAAGACAGGAAGTGCTCCTTGTCCACTAGGGTCTGGGTTACAACATCTGGTGCCAAGCATATACTAGGTGAATGACAAGCCTTTTTCTGGGAATACTTCTGATAACCCCTCCAAGGTTGGTGCTATCATTACCCTCATTTTGTGATGAACAAACTGAGGTTAGATGATGTAAAGCTACCCACTGATAGTCACACGGCAGCAGAGCTGGACACATCCCTAGGATCCATTATCATTCTAAGACCAGTCTGGCGAGCAAAGTACCCAGCACCTCCAGTGTAGGTCATGGCCTATTTCTCCTAGAACCTGAGATAGCAACCCCGTACTGTATGGCTGGTCCCAGAGGGACAGCTGCAGGGCCACACTTCAGCCTGCAGCCTATGCCCAGCCAATGGGGCACCTGTCAGGGGGACCAGGAGACCCTGGGAATTATGAGGTAAAAGAAATGCCAAGACTTACCAGCTCCCTCCTCAGCCACTCCAGGGTCTGCCCGAGATTCAGGTCTGGTTCTCCTGCTGTTTTCATCTCAGGGTCCTTGAGATAGAGACCCTGACAATGTGCTATGGTCCTGACAGACTTTTAGCTGTACAATCTCAGACCTCCTTCAGGCTGCCTGCAGGTTCCACGCAAGTCACTGAGGACGGAGTTAATGAGGGCAGGAAGTAGCTCACATTAGAAAAATGTAATTTGATTTTTTAAAAATAAGGTCTTTAGTGCTCTGAGCAGAACAAAGAAGAGGGGAGGGAGACCATTAGTGCATGGGGACCTCAGTGCTTGCCAGTTCTAGAAGCCAAGAAGATCTGATGTCAATAGGATTAGGGACTGCAAAGCTTTAAATGATGACAGTAATGGTTATCGTGAGATGTGTGTCCCTTTCTAAGAATTGTTCTGTACTATATATATAAAGTGTAGAAATGCCCACTTTGGGGTAGATAATCCACCTGTGGCCCCAAAGACTCTTTTCCTCCCTCACTTATGTAAAGCATCTAAATAAAAGGAAAGTCTCACTTTTTAAATTTTCTCACTTTTAGGATGCCCTGTTACCCATTTCTAGCAAATGAGATCAAAGGACAAATTTACTGTTGCCCTTTAAAAAATCATTTACCTTCCTAATAAAAGGGAAAATGTTACAAATGTATTCTCTTTACTCCTACTTTTTCCTCCCTTCTGTCTTCAATGTGGATGTGATGTTTGGAACTATAGCAACCATCATGCAACCATAAGACAAAGGCAAAGAAAATTAAAGATATTTGAAATCATCAAGTCATAGAACCGGCAACAGCATCTGCCTGATAGGTGAGACAACAGACTCTATTGTAACTGGGCACCTTGCTATTTGCAGGCAAGCACAGTTCTAATGGACTCCCCTCATTTATTCTTTACAACACACTATGAAGTGCATATTCTTTAATTATTTCTTCCAATATACACTTATTTAGTGTCTACTTTGTGCCAAGTTCTACTTCAGGCACTAGGTGTGTACCTCAAAAGCAGAAAGACAGTGACCTTATTTTCATGGACCTAATATCCTAGCAGATGGAAACTAACAATAACTTTTATTCTTATGTAGGGTATTTTAAAAATTCATTTTATTCATGGAAATTGGGAGCCCCAAACCAAGAATGAGCATAGTGATCTTGCATAAAGTTATAAGTTGACCAGCAAAATAAGCTCAGTCCATGTTGGAGGGACTTGTTCTCAACCTTGGTTGCATAAGATCCCTACAGATAAAGCTTAGATGAATTCATAATCCAAAATGACAGCACACACAGAAAAAACACCCCCATAAGTGAGGTCCCAATATCCCCTTCATAGGAACTGGAAGACCACCCTCTAACACCACCTCTTAAAGGTTTAACATCTCTCAATGGTGCCATAGGACCTAGACCAATCCTTTAACGACGCTTGGGCCTTTGGGGACACTTATGCAAATGAGAGCAATCATCTACTTTTGCACATGAGTTTGTGGATTGTTGGGATGGTCTTCAGGTTGCATATCTTCAGGTCTTCAGTCTCATGGTCACCTAGTAGCCTCCTGACATTGCTGAGTTGCTGGGACATGCTTTTCTTTTGGCAGTAGCAAAGGATGAGAGAGCAAATAGAAACATGTGATGCCACTTAATACCTAAGCACAGAACTGTCACATTGTCACTTTTTCTACCCACTTCTGGGCAAAGTGAGTCACATGACCAAGACTGACCCCTTGTAAGGGGTAGGGATGGACACTTATCTACAAGGAAATCATGTAAGAGGGTAGAGACAGGGAGGATAAGAAGTGGAACCAGCAATCAATTCAAAAAATGAGGCCACAGGCCTGGAGGGGCAAGCTGAGACCACATGATAGATGGTGAGTCAGAAGCAGGAGATACGGCTGCTTGACTATGGAGAGAGAAGCAGAAAGAACTAGAGAGAAGGTAATCTCAGAATGAGACTTGAAGGATATCTTAGGACAGCTAACACAGTACTGTTCTTCCTTCTGTCATGCTACGTCACGCTAAACCTTTAACATACAGAACCTCACATCTTCAAAATTTTATTGGGACTGTAGTTCCCAAACAGTGTGCTGAGGCACTCTCAGGCACAGCAGAAAATTCTGCATAGCAGCACAAAAACAGTTAAAAGTTTGAGGGAAACACAATAACATCCACCAGATGCTGTAAAAACAGCTATTATTAAGTTATCTGAAATAATCTAGAAAATGTTAAATATTTCCTTGGGTGTCACACACTGAAAAAGTACTGAGATGGTAAGGGTATGGCAAGTTGAGAAGATTTAGGAACCTGTCCCTCTGGAGTAATTATTATCATTGTCTGAATTTTAGAGATGATTATCAATGGATCCTATTTTTTTCTCATTGAGTTTATTGGAACTTTTAAAATATACAGTACAGTTACATTTATCATTCAGACCATGTACTTTTATACGACATATCATGATTCTCATTTTTTCCCCATACCCCTCCTCTCCCTTAACCCCTTCCACCATTCCCTATTTACAAAGACTTTGTTTCCATTTTTTCCATTTCTCATATTTTTTCTTTTCCCTTATTTCCTTTTCCCTACCCTTCCCACTTCCCCCACACCTTTAGCCTTTTTCTTCCTATTTCACATTGTTAATTATACCATTTGAATCTTATTTACATTTTTCGTTGTTCACACCCGAGAAACTATTCAGTATTTCCACATATCTTATGCATTTCACTTAAGAGTATTGCCTCAATATGCATCCATTTTCCTATGAATGACCCTAGTTTCTCATTTTTGATGGCTGAATAGTACTCCATTTAATAGAAAAACCACAGCTTCTTTATCCAGTCTCCAACTGATGGGCAATTGGGCTGTTTCCAAGTTTTAGCTATTACAAACTGTGCCGCTATAAACATGGGTGCACACATATCACTGTGGTATGATTCTTTTAATTCTTTTGGAAAGATACCCAGCAGAGGGATAGCTGGGTCAAATGGAATCTCTAGTTCTAGTTCTTTGAGGTATCTCCATATTGATTTCCATAGTGGTTTCAGTCTGCAACCCACCAACAATGAAGAGGGGTTCCTTTCTCCCCACAACCCCATCAACATTTGTTATTGGTTGATTTCTTGATAGCAGCCATACTTTCTTGAGTGAGGTGGAATTTCAGTATTGTTTTCATCTGCATCTCTCGAATGACCAGTGATGTGGAACATTTTTTCATATACTTATTTGTTGCTTTTACTTCTTTGTCTGAGAAATGTCTGTTCATTTCAGATGCCCATTTTTGAATTGGGTCTTTATATTTGGGAAGCCTGATTTGTTTTAGTTCTTTATATATTCTAGATAATAGTCATTTGTCTGAGGAGCAGCTGATAAAAAATATTCCCACATTGTAGGTTGTCTCTTAGCTCTGTTGGTGGTTTCTTTTGCAGTGCAGAAGCTTTTTAACAAGATGAAGTAGTCCCAGTTGTTGATTCTTTGTGCTAGTTCCCATGCTACTGAGGATCTGTTCATAAAGTTTTTTCCTATGCCAATGTCATTGAGAGTTCTGCCTAACTTATCTTCCAGGAAGGTTAGAATTTCTTTTTTAATATTTAGATCTTTAACCCATTAGGATTTTAGTTTAGTGCATGGCAAAAGATAAGGGTCTAGTTTTAATCTTTGGCAGGTTGGAATCCAGTTTTTCCAACACAATTTGTTAAAGAGGCTATCTTTCCTCCACTAAGGATTTTTGGCTCCTTGTCAAAGATGAGATAGCTGAGAACATCTGAAGTTGTTTCTGTATCTTCCAATCTATTCCACTGATCCTCAGGTCTTTTTCTTTGCCAGTACCATGCTGTTTTATCACAGTGGCTTTGTAATATAGTTTCACGTTGGGGATTGTGATGCCTCCTGCCATGGTATTGATCTCCAACTTAATTTCACTATGGTCTGATAATATACATGGGATAATTTTGATTCCTTTGCATTTATTTAAACCTGTTCTATGAGCTAGAATGTGGTTTACTTTGGAGAATGACTCATGTGCAGCTGAAAAGAATGTATATTCTGATTTTTTGGAGGTAGAACATTCTATAGACATCTATTAAATCCATATATTCAAAAGCTTGCTTCAATTCTAGCATCTTGTTAACTTTTTGTCTGGATGATCTGTCTATTTGTGATGGTGGCATATTTAGGTCCCCCACTACAATTATATTAGTGTTTATATGGTTTTTCATGTTCCTTAATATTTCTTTTATATAGTTGGTGACATTAATATTTAGTGCATATATATTTGTGATAGTCATCTCTTCCTCTTGAATTGTTCCCTTTACAAGGATGTAGTGGCTTTCTTTGTTTCTCTTAATCAGTTTTGGTTTGAAATTTACTTTGTCTATGAATAATATAGTTACCCCCATTTTTTTCTGGGCTCCTATTGCATGGAGAGCTGTTTTCCATCCCTTCACTTTCAGTCTATGGATTTCTTTTTGCACCAGGTGTGTTGCTTGTATACAACATATTGTTTGATTTTGCTTCTTAATCCATTCTGCAGTCTATTTCTCTTGATTGGTGAGTTGAGGCCATTGACATTGATGGATATAACTGATGATATGTATTGACTTATCATTGTCATGTTATTATCCTGTTGTTGGTTCTTTTTAATTTTTTCCCTCTCCATTTAGTTTCTTGCCTTGCCTGATTGACTTGCTCTGTTGGGCCTCATGGTGTTGTGACCTTCACTGTCTTTTTCTAGGATATTGGTTAGAATTGTTTATAGTGCTGGTTTGGTATTCATGAAGTTTCTCAGGTGTTTTTTTGTTATGGAAGTATCTTATTTCCCCATCAATTTTGAAAGAGAGTTTTGCAGGAGACATCAGCCTAGGTTGGAGGTTGTTTTCTTTTAGAGCTTGAAATACCTCACTCCAGGTTCTCCTTGACTTGAAGGTTTGTATTGAAAAGTCTGCTGTGATTCTGATGGGCTTTCCTTTGCATGTGATTTGTTTCTTTTCTTTAACTGCTTGTAGTATTTTGTTCTTCTGTTGGGTTTCTGGGATATTGACTATTATATGTTTACATGTA